ATCTACATAAAAATGAATGCAAAAAAATGAAATAAGAAAATCAACGTAACTGCAAAATCAATGTCAAGTTTTTATTTTATTTTATTTGTTATGAAATTTGATTGCAAGTAGTAATTTACTTGTCGTTACCATTATTATATTATATTTCCTCTCCAAAGAAAGGACCAACTAGCTTTTGACCTTAGTGAGTTGGGTCCATTTTCGGTAGACCCTGGTTATTAAAATAAATAATGATGAAAAAAACCAGCAATACTGTATTTTGAATGTTCATGTTTCCTCAAGTTTTTTTGTTTTTAATAGTTATTTGGAAAATCAACACAGGGTTTTAAACTTCTCCAATCGCATAACGAATTGGTAGAAACCAGGTCAAGGGTCTCATCTACAGATTGCATAAAAACATTCGCAGTACTTTTGTGTTATTCTACCATCATCACGAATCAATAGCTAGTTATAGAGAGAGAATAATTAATTTTACAATTTTAAAATGCCATTTAAGAAGCGTATACATTATATTCGTAGGGTCAACATTGCTAGCTTCGTATCATTAACATGTCTCCCGTCTAAATCTTTCAAGCTTGATATATGTTTAATAACTGTACGCCAGTCGTTTTAAAGGTGCGAACAACTTACTTTCTATCGTTCTTCTTGTCAGCCTCCGTAATTCTTGGAGCAGGTACATAGTCCATTTGGTATTCACCCTTGGCTCTGCATTCACGCATCAAAAGATCAACCAATGACGAAATCGAGAGCTTCACTACACTTGGAGCAAATTTAAACTGAGCTAGAACTAGTCACAAAACCTTCACTACATATATCTATGAGCATATAAACAGTTGTAAACTTTCACTGCAGCCAAGCTAGTAATGCTCGGCTTACTCAACAACAAAGAACCAGTAACTCACGGAACCAGTTGTAAACTTTCACTGCTGTTGCCAATTGAATCTGCAATAGAGCAACAATATCAAGACAAGAACAAAAAGCAAAAAAGTTAACGTCTTTCTCACTAACCCTTTGTTCATTCTAAGAGATCAAAAATTTCACTGCTCAATAACTCAGATCCTATTTGATTACATCAAAGCATTCTATTGACTCACATAAT